CCGATCGTCGACAACACTTCATTGCTTGCTTTACTGCGCTGCGTGTTCTGAGCTGTCTTCACTCGCCTCGGTTCGTGTGTTCGGGTTGTAACGTTGAACGGTTTTGGTGTAATAATGAAGTATGCAGTCTGGTGACATCGTGTAACGCAGACTTTAATGAAGTCTTATACCTTCAAGTACTGTTAACAGAAATTTTATTATGTGTTTGTGGCAAGAACGTACTCATATTTCATATAGAAACAAAATGGTGGTTTCCCTATGGGTCAGCATCCGAGTGACGTCATGGTTTTCCCGTATAGAATAAACAGTAGACATTCAGGAAATCAAATCGTACATAGGTGCTGTTTAAGTGCATTAGTGACACAAGAACAGTTATTAGTGATTGTGATAATTGGCGTTGATAATTTTTTTGGGCGTTTTGCTGTCATCTCATTGTGAACTAGGCTTTGAAATTGTCAGACCCTGTGCTTTGTCAGTGTTTGTCCACTCCACAGACATTGTTTATACGTTGAAACTCGGCTTTTGTTTACGTTTCAGGAGTGAATGCCAACCGTCCGCCACAGCTACTGGATGACATCAACAATTTGGCCATCAGTGAGAGCACTCCAGTGGGGAAGGTCTTGTTCACAGTGCACGCAACTGACCCGGAAGGATCTCCAGTACACTACGGCATTGTGGGTACGGACCGACTCGGTGTGGATAAGGACACGGGTGAAGTTCGAGTCATCAGCCCTTTAGACAGAGAGGTGAGTCTTTTGTATTAAAGCAGGGCCTTAACTGTCCGATACTAGTGAAAATGAAACAGGGAATGATTTTCTTTTATCTTTATTCCTTTCATCTGAGAACAGCAGTGAAAATAGCTGTGCTACGTACTACGTTGTTCAACAGTTTCCTTTTTACAAATACTTCTAAAAGCTGCCTTATGGTACCGGCGAACTAGCGCCATTGCTAAGAACATTTAGGACTCTGTAGATGCAACCGCGCCACGGTGGTCTAGCGGTCAGAACGCTGGCCTTGTAATCCTGGGGTCTCGGGTTCGATTCCCGGCGGTGCCCGAATTTATAACTTGTGTTGGGCAAGGCCGTGGTCTAGGCAACACGGAGTTTTCCTCCGTGGCATCCCAACAATTACTCCATTCACACACAGAAGAAGGCAATGGCAAACCCCTTCTGGATCATCTGCCAAGAACGTATATGAACAGGTCCCAGTCCGAGAAAAGGATGGAAGGATCCTGTTCATATGGACCTGTCGTCAGACAGAACACTAATAATAATAATAATAAAAAAAATAATAGATGCAACCGAAGTAAAGGCGATAGTACATTTGTCCCCGGTGCTAACAAAACGCTATGGCATGAAAGCGTTTGGGGAGTGGATGGAGGTGAGTGGTTTTAGCTTCACATTCCGGTCGCTTTACTCCCGAAGGAAGATTCCTGTACCATTTCTATAGGAAGTTGCGTGAGCAGCAGAGCGAAGCGACGTAGCCATGCCAGGAATCGAACCGCTGTCGTTCAGGACTAGCCTGAACTGGTTGAGGCGTCCCATCTCGAGTGAACCCAAACACGTGTCAACGCAAGCAAACAGCAAATTATGTTTTGCGTAATGAGGATGCACTTGTGCCCTTTGGAGACAACTCTTTTTCTTAACCACTGACGGCCGTTAGCCTCTACTTCTCTGTCTTTCTTGGGGGTTGCTTTAGTGTTTGTCGGCGTGCCGGGTGTCCTCAGAGGGCAGATGTTAGCAAGGGGCGGGAGACAGTCTAGAGCAGTGGTATTCAACCTATTTTGTTCGCGTACCCCCAGATATAATTTCTCTTCAACTTTGTACCCCCAAAGTTGTTGATTTATAATTCAAGTTATACATAGTATATAATCTACATCTAAAATAAATTAAATAAATTACATTACTGATTATTCAGTGTTTATCATAAAATAATATATTTTTTTTTAAATTTCACTTACCTTCTAAGATGTATTCGCGTACCCCCGGGGATACGCGTACCCCAGGTTGAATACCACTGGTATAGAGTACTCAGATGGAATTAGTTTAATTTCAAGTTTGTAAAAGAGATAACGTTTTTCAAGATGTCTCTCTAATATGTTTCTTCTTTTTCTAATAAAACAATTGTTTTGTGAGTGGTTCAGAATTTTAATAACTTAAAGCAGGATTATTTTCTTTTTTCTTGAGTATTTATTCCTTCGTTTCTCCTCTCTCTCTCTCACTCACTTTTCTTATTTTTCGCTTTCTTTCCTTCTCTGGCTTCCTTTTTATGCCTCCCTGTTTTCTTCTTTCCTTTGGTTTTGTTTATCTGCTTATCGCATTGTGTCCCCTATAAGGAAGTGCCTAACGTTGTAACTGATATGACTTGTGAAATCCCACTTATTTTCCTAATAGATACAATTATCATGAGCTCCCTTTTGTGTAGGCCCCACGTAAACCGACCCTCGAGTAATCAGTTTGTCAGTCACTTCGTAAGCTAGTTACTAGTTCAGTCAGTGTCAGACTGAGGCAGCCATTACTCGCTAGTGACTAAGACAGTCTTCGAATTATTCAATTGCATTCGGTAAGTCTGTCCGAAATTAGAGTTCGCCTTCCTGAAAGTTCTTGAGTGATATAAAAGTGAAAAGTGGTTCTTTGCTCTATGGCTCGTGTCATTATGTTCCCATCAGCAGGCGGAAAGAGCTGATAATCAGAAACACGTGACTGTAAGGCACACGCTCGGCTGTGATCGACGCTGAACAATAACACTTCAATGAGAAGACGAAGGAAGTCTGAATGTGGGATTAAGTAGAATTTAATTTGTTTGTTGTCTGAAGGAGAAGAGAGACAGAGAGGCAAATAATTTGAAATTATCTTCTTAATATATAATCAAAAAGTGTTCTCTTATGACAGCTCAATTAAAACTTGAGTTTGTTTCTGGATAGTATGAATCTTCCAAACGTGGTTTTGTCTGAAAGAGATGTCGCAGAAGTCAGCTCAGAAGAATATCGGAAGACAGCGTACGAAGATGTGCGGAGAAGGGGCGAGAACATTTTTTCTTCTTCAAAAAACCACATAAAAATCAGTCGCAATGAAGTCGACCGTTTAGTCGCATCGATGCGAAATAAAAATATCGACGTTTCGGAGACGTGTCTACACTACCGAAAATAGTCGTCGTGATGTTATAGATCAATAAATAATGTAAGGTGGTGGTTAAACTTAAGGGATGCGTTTATAAAATCTGTGACATAAATCCAAGTCTTACAAATGTTCAAACGTGTCCTTAATTTCAGAGTTAATTCCGAATTTGAACAGTTCGTATGGCCTAATCCGAAAGTTTAAGAACATAGAGAGAAAATAGTTGTATTATGAAAATACCAACTTTGTACTACAGAAAAATCACATGTTTTAGCTCTAGATTATATTCAGGACGTTACACGTTTGACAGTCGCTAAAGAGGGGAGCTGTATTACCTTTTCTGTTATTTGCTATCTGATTCTAGTAAGAAATTAAAAATGTAAATAATAATAATATAATATGATATATTAGTAATATATAATTGGTCAATAATTTAATATAATGATTCTTAACACTACCAGGATCTACTGGACGTAAGGTAACAGAAGGGTAACAGGTATTTTGATGCTTCTAGATTTTCGTCCACCCTTCTAAGCAAATTCTGTGATACTATATTAAAATACGCTATGACTGGTTACTTACATTCTAATCCTTTAAATCTCACTGTCACTTAATGCCATTAGCTTTCTCCACACCCTACTTTACGTAGCTGTGCTGTTAAGAATGAGTCGTCAAAAAATGTAAGTTTTCTGACCGTTACCAGCTGTCTGGTAGAAATTATAAACAATTTGTACAAAGGTGAACAGTTAAATTTTTCCCCGTGTCTAAACTCTGCACAAGAATAGTGGATATATAGCGTGGATATCAAAGTCCACGTACAAGCGCCGTCTTTTGATCAAGCGCTCCGGAAGGAGCCACATGATTGGAGGCTGGGCGGATCCCGTGGCTCATCTGCATGTGATTACTCCCCGAAGGACTCAGATCCTGCTCGCCCAGGTAGTATTCAGTCACATGACTCAGATACCAGACGCAACCAACCCCCAGAACCTAATATTTGACTAGTTAACTCCATGGGGGAAAATGTTAATATTATGCTCAGCTAGTCAAAAATATACCTGCTTATTTCTTTAAACCGAAAGTTTACTGTGTTCACAAAAGCCTCACCCACCCCTATCCTGAGCTACATTAATGTAATTCACACAGGAGGTAGCCAACTTTTGCTGAATTGGTGGCTGAAAAAATCAAAATGCTCGAGGCAGAAATCGAACACCGATCATCGAGCACACAGCTAGAAACATTTTATTGTGAAATTTTCTAGGAAGGTATCTGTATAATGTTTGCCTTGTCAGTTCAAGCTACATTAATATAGGTTTAAATATAGACGTACTTTAATTAAATCCTTGTTAATTATAAACTGTGTTCAGTTTACTGAACACGCGAGGACGATAAGTCAGAAAAGTTAGTTTTTTATTTCCCTACTAACACTTACACGTCGATTCAGAGCAGATGAGTTCAATAGTGCCAAACGGTGTATTTCGTTTGTACTGTAGCTCAAGTTAAATTGAACGTCGTGCAATAGATTTGCTCATCACTGCACAAAGAAGCAATAAAGAGCTGTTGTATAAATTAATACAGAATGCTTTCCATTTTGCTTTCATCTGAATATAAAATGCAAACTACTTTCAGTCCGAAAACTTTATACGAAATTTTGGGTAAATGTTACGACTGCATAAAAGTGGCCATGTACTACACAGGCAGGTTATCTTGGTAGCCAAATAAGGGACTATCGGGGAGGAGTTGTGGATCGGAAAAATGTTTCGGTACGAGTCTTGTAAAAAACATTTATACTCCGCTCCGATCCGTCGGCAAGTTGCTCTTTGTACTGCGTGAGGTGACACACGTCAGCAATGGCTGACACCAGCTTAAGTAGGTTTAACAAAGTAATTCACAGTCAGAAAGTAGAGGGACATCGTTAATAATAACGGTGTACTGTACTGATGTTTTCTTAACAGTCAGTAGAAAGTCTGCTCGCGTGTTCTTGGCCCTGCCAGACAAGGAAGGTAACTTGCATGTTCTATATGTCTATATCAGTGTATTCCAAACTCTTTTATTCTAAAGCTGGTTTGATGCGAATAAAAATGGGGGCCCATAACAAAAATTCTCTTCCGCAAAATGTGATTTAACAACCCCAAAAAAGTAGTTACTAATAAACTTTGCAGCGCTTGACGTTGAATCACGCAGTTCAAGCCGGGAACCGGGAAGTGAAGTTGCGTTTAACTTTATCAGTGAACGCGCTGCACCTCCGTATTCAGGGCTGATGTTTTATATAGCGATGAAGAGACTTGACTTTTCAACGGTCATTGCACTAATAATGATATACACTGGAAATTTAATTAACTGCGGTAAAATTCAGGAATACTGGATGATGCTGGAGAGGATGAAGTTTGTTGTGAAAGTTTAAGTGGACTTTACGGAAAGACTCTTCATGCTGCTACTTAGCCGATTCGAGGCCACTCGCGGCTTCCGCGCGCATGTGTAAAATTTTCTAGCTCATTATCGAACACTAGTCGTTGTTGGAAAAAAAAAAAAAAAAAAGTTTCCCAGAATCCCGTTGGACAAGTGTACTTATGTACTATTGTCAAAGGGCTCGTACTTGCAGAGGGCATTTTAACGCTACCTTCAATAGCGCT